AGACTAGTGTTTTTGATTAATAAGTGAATTTTTTTAGTATTATGTATGGCAATTATTTTAAGTCAAAAAATCAACATAATCAAGGAGGCAAATCAGCAATTGTCATTTATGGGCTAACTAAAGGCCCTAAAGATGATGACGAATATATGATAGTTATGCAGTATGCAAAACAAGGAAGTCTCCGAAAATTATTAGATAACCAATTCAAGAAATTAAAATGGTTGAATAAAATAGAAAACCTGCTTTTTATAGCAGAAGGGCTTTATACAATTCATAAAGCCGGACTAATACACAAAGATCTTCATTCTGGAAATATAGTTAATGAAGATATTACTAGTCCTTATATTACCGATTTTGGTTTGTGTAGACCAGTGTCCCACGATTCAAGTTCTAAAGAGATTTTTGGTGTACTTCCCTATATTGCTCCAGAATTGTTTAACAAAAAAGGATACACACAAGAATCTGATATATATTCTTTTGGAATTATTATGTCAGAAATTTTTAATGGATATCCTCCATTTCACAAAGTTTCACATGATAAGGATCTAGTAATTAAAATCTGTCTAGGTCTTAGACCAAAAATCATAAAAAAAGTTCCTAAGCTACTTCTAGAATTAATGAATGAGTGTTTAGATGAAAAACCTCAAAATCGACCAAATGCTAAAATTTTAGTGGATAAACTGAAAAAATATCGACAAGATATAACAAATAAAGATAAATTACATGAGCAAGTTGAGGAAATTGAAAATTCATCGGTTGATAATCACAATTCAGGGAAACTCGATTATCAAACACACAAACAAGCCATTTATACAAGTAGGCCTCTAAATTTTGACCCTCCTGAACCAGTGAATGCAGGTAACCATAACGCACATATATATATATATATTTTAAAAAAGTATTTAAATGTACTTACTCTGTAAAAAATTTTTAAATTTACTAGAGCAAGATAGTGCAAATATGTATTATACAAATATGAATTGTACAATAGGATCAAACGATTTTGCTGCTCAATGACCAATCAGGATTTGTAAAGATGTAAACATTTTGTACTACATGCTTATGAGCTTTTACGACTATTCTATATCATATCCTCTTCTATCTTTATTTTTATTACATTATTAATACATTATGATTTTCAAGATTATTAGAACAATTTGGTATTCCTTTAGACAGTTATATTAACAACAATTTAAATTTGAATCATCAGTTTATTGTATATCTGTGGTGATTAACATTATCACATAAATGATGATTTTCAAAGATTCAATAAAGAACTTTCTTAAATGGTTTTTTATACAGTATTAATATTGATAGAACAATTAAGATTATATTTCTAAAAAAAAAAAACTTAAAATAGATTTATATGTTATAAGGTAGCTGCGCAAAGTAGTTGCGCTTAAACTGACAATCACTTCACCGACAGCCCATTTAGCCGACATCACTCCAGGTGAAATTAAGCAAAAATATATACCTGTAACTTATCAAATGCTAAACCCTAACCCTATGTGATGTCGGCTAAATGTGAAATGACTGTCGGTGAATCGATCGGAACCCATGTTAAGGTTAGAGTCAAGGTTAGGAATTAGAGGGGAATAGTTTATATAGTAAAATTGCCTAACGAAACCTTTTTGCTAGAGCACTGAAGGTGATTTCTTATGCTGATTTTCGAGAAGTAAGCGATTTTTGGCAAAACAGACGTTTGTTTTGAATTTTCTTGATTACGCCTGATCTTGAAATCCGATTCGTAGTTCAGAAAATCTGCGCCACAAACCCAAGTGGTGCTACGGCTTTTCATATTCGTATGCTTTTTTTTATTATAAAATTAATAATACCATAAATAACTGGGTTTATGTTATGTTCAAATGCATATGATAATAATAACAGCCAGACGATAATAACATTATTGTATGAGGGCGAGGTGTATTCAAAAAATTACAACCAAGAATACGTCACAGCATATATTGTATATGTCATAAGAAAAGTCGTAATATTAAAATTATGCGAAGCGTCATTTCAACTTATTTATTATTTCTCAAATTTACTAAATACCATAACTAATCTAGATCTATGCCTGATTCTTTAGCTAAGTATTTATTTTAAAGCAATAATTATGATAAATCAACCATTTGATTCCATCTCATGTTTTTCATATAATAATCTATGCATGTGATAATATTAACGAGGTTAAGACTACATAATAGTGTTTCAAGCATTTTTGATTCTATCGGAATTACAGCCTACGTCAATTCGACCAAAAAGTTGCAACTTTCACTACAATCGGTCGTAATTACCTCAATACAGCCACACCACTAAGTATGGATATAGATCAATGAATGAATAAAATATCTACGTATAAGGTGCTTTTTTGGGCCACTATCACGGCCCAAAACATCTTACAGGTATTCGATTCATTCATTGATTTACGGGAAATCAGAATTTATAAGCATTGTTACCCTGATCGTAGATCATCACGAGAACCAGCAAATTCTCCAGCTTTTCGATAAACATTGCGTGAACATGCATTTAAGTTTGTTCAAACAAAAGAGTCTTCGGACAACAGTTATAATTTCCATTTTTAAACTCCGGATTTTTCTATTTTGCGTTAGCTTGTAAATTCCAGTTATTTAAAAAAATTAGTATGAGATGTGAACAGCCATTTAATAATGAGCTTAACGCACGAAAGTTTATATAGTGTATTTGAAAAAAAATGTTTTTAGTGATGGGACCTGCTGAATGATTAGTAATTAATATTAATTATTAATGATCAATTGAATTATTGACTAAAAACGAATTAACAATATATGGCGCAGCTAATTAGTACAGAATGTATAAAAGATGAAAAGTTCGAGCACTATTTTCTCAAATAATTACTCGGATATTTTCCTCACATTTGTCAACTACGTTAATAGTTTATTTAATTAACGCATTATTAATTTTTTTTATCATTAATTAACTACGTGTTACAAATTTTAGTGGTTAGGTTTAGCACAAATTTATATCATAATCATATAATAATCACATCATGAAGCTTATGGAACTTTGGGAAAAATTCAAACATTACTTTTATTATATTACACTTTTCATAGCGGCTTTTAATCTTATAACAGATTTTACTTTTCTTTTTTCATTGATTAATTCAACAAGCGCGATGTGTCAGGCATTCAAAAATGATACATTAATAAATAATATTATTCCTTGGGAAGATGCAAACCTATTACGCTGGAACTCTACGGATTTACTTCGCTATCAACTTAAATCAAAGAACCATGATCATAATATAATTACTATACCAGATGTGAATATGACCATTTATTATCTGGGTTATTTTATAATTAATTATGGATCATATCGAGGTACTTCTGGACTTGGCTATGATTTTAATTCTTACAATGGTATAGTAGGAACTGCTACCATTAATAATACGAATATATCTATTCCTCTCGTTATTCCTGTTGTCACTGCCTATAATGATAGTTGGTCGAAACATACTGGCTATTTAATTATTCGTGAGGGATATAAAAGCCCAAAATCAATATGTCGGGCATCAATACCAAATTGTTATGTAAATAACGTAATAAACTTTCCCTTTACTAAAATTGATATAAACAAATCATCAACATATGATTCCATTGAGATCGACGACACCATAGGTCGCCTAAATGCTACCCTTAATATTCGTACTGGACTTCAAATATACATGTGTGACTATGCTAATAACAATACTGTTTCTTATGATTGGGCTCGGCAACTCAGTGTGATAGCAGCTATTTCTATTTCTGTGTTGGAAGTGCTTAAAGCTATTCTTTTTATTCTAGCACCATTATTATTATTTAAGACTAAACAATACAGTCTTGTGGCATTTTCAAGTTATTCACCTATTATACTTGTCTTTTTATTCTTTGGACTTATAAAATGCAAACCTATGCCATTTTTTGTCTACACAAATAAATTTATTCTAGCTGCCAGGGATTTTAATAATGCAAATGTTTTTCAACTTTTTTGCAACATATTATTACACTCACTGCCCATGTTGGTGTTGACAATTCAGAACTTTATATATAATTTTAATGAAGGTCACCAGTATCCTTCAATAATTCACATTCTATCTTTTGTGAGTACTTGTGTTATGTTGCCAATTAACATTTTTCAACTACTTACTATCATCAAGTCAATACGGGTGGCCCAAAGCTTTGATGAAGTGATCACATATTATAATGAACTTCAACAACCAAATCAAAAAAAACTGCTTATATTTGCCTTGATAGACTGTAGTTTTAATATTATTCCTCTGGTTTTTATAATTTCTCTAGCTGTTCAAGGATTTAACAGCATTTTTATTTTTATAATTCCACTTCTAGTTATATTTGCCAAGCTATTAATTTGTTTTTTCCAATTTTTTACTTCTCGTTTCCGAAACCCATTAAAATCACCATTAGTTTTCTCTATGGTTATGAATAGTCCATTCCTTCTTTTTTGCATTATCTATTTACCCATTCAACAATTAGTTATCATAACAGCATCTAGTGGTGTCACTATCTGGTCATGTTGGCCATTAGATTTTGTAAGTATTGATCTACCAATTGTAGTAACATTAATTCTTATGAATATATTTGGTTATGGAAATAGTATGGATATTTCTCTTCTGCAACATAATCCTGTGTTAGTTATTCTAGCTACCCTTTATTTAGTATGGAGAATTATTTCAGGTTTTTGGTATTTAAGCATTAGTTTATTAGTTAGAGCTAGAGGAAACAAAACTCATAATCAATCAACTGAAGAAATTGATTCACCTTCTTTTTTTAATTTATTCAAAACAAAATATTCAATTTATGGTATTATTATATATACTTTATTTAAATTTATTATTTGGATAGTAGGCCTACGAGTTATTTTTAGTATTTTCATATCACAGCCAGATCCAAAAATTTATGCCGTAATATCACCCAAGATTCTTATAGTACTTGGCTTAATAATTTATCTTGGTCTTGACTTAATGGGTTTATTGGCACTATTAATTTCATACTATGGCCCATTTTCTATTCAAACTTTGGCACTATATCTCAATTCACCATTCCTCATATTTCTTTTACTTGGTTCTCAATTCCGTGCAAAGATTATTGCAGCTGTAAAACTTGATGAGCATAAGTTACTTGTTTGGAAATTACGTGATTTAGTAATAATCAGTTCATTGCTTCTCATATGGCCTGGATTAGGGTTTGGGTATATGCCATATAATAATCATGAAAAGTATACATGGCGGTTATGGTATGGTTGGGATTTTGATGCAAGTCAATCAAGTTATTCAAGTACAACCTATGAAGGTTTCTGGGGTACTTGTGGTTTACTATGTACTATATTTTCATTGATTTATTGTATAATTTCAATTTTGTTTAATGCGATGCCATCTGATGCGGATGAATCAATGCTATTTAATACGGATGAATAATTTTCGTTTCGCACTAAGACAATTTATTAAAAAAGAGCCTAATAAATATGCATTTCGCTTTAATACAATTATGAATCTGACCAAATGCGTTTCACTTATAGCATAACAATTTATTTAAAAAAATATTTAGGTGTCATGTTCGTAATATGACACTCCTAAAAAAATCTGTCCTCTTTGCCTGTAGCGTATCAATTTTTTTTTTCATTTTTAATCTCCATAAAGCGACTTTATCAAATCATACTTAGTGGTGCAGCTGTATTTAAAAGCTACAACCCTAAATACGTTATGGCATGTAGTAATACCCGTCGTATTATTGGACACGTGTGAGATAATGCCGTATTCGTAATTTACGTTGCGTGCTATTTTGTATATTATAAGTTAATACTAGGAACCGGGAACCGGTATAAGTCCGGAGCATGAAATATGGATTTTATCGATCAGTAAAATATGATTGGTTTATAATCACGTGGGCGGACGGACAGAAAAACATTGCAGATCACACTTTACGTAGAAATAGAGTCCTCCGCTTCGCTCCAGACTAATAAATTTTATGAATTACTTAAGCTGACACTACTTTTTCATATTTAATTTATTTATTGCTAATTTCTCGGACCATTTAATACATTGGATAATACATTGGGCGGTGCTTTATAATGTTCGTTTTCCCTACTAGTGTTATACAAAATAATCAAATTTCGCCAAAGTTTGGGTAATAAATTAAATGTATTGAGACGTGAATATCATCCGAACTTTCACTTTCATTTTCACTTCCATGATAGATAGTAAATAAAATAAACTTTGGTATGTTTATACACGTACATACATACTACGTACATATGTAAAATTAATTACGTATTGTGTAGTGTTCATTATTATCGTTATCATTATTACCAGAATTATGGCCTACTATTTAATATACTATATACTACAAGAATTACGACCATGACATAGCATTTTAATGCGACTGTGGTTACTACCTATGTTAATACTAGAAGGTTGCAATTTCGCTACAATCGGTCGTAATTAATTACCTCAATACATCTGCTCCGCTAATCATACTGTAGTATATCATTAAAAAAACAGCATATATTTGCTTCGTTAATATTTAAGAACTAAGTTGCTCATAACGCGGTTTCTCTAAACAAGGAATAGATGTATATAATTATTCTCTAGCCAACCTATCTATATTTTACTTTATTATATCTAAGGATCAAGAAGGAATTTTGGGAATTTTATCTAAAAGGAAAAAACCTAATCTTTACGAAATGGATTCCTATATACTTCCAATTTTAATATTGCAAACATTGCTATTGAAGATGATCATATAATTTTCTTAATTGCTAAAGGTTTTTTATATACTTTTGGAAGCGGAAATAATTATCAACTTTGGAGAAAGGTTTTAAAACGTCATAATCTGAATGAGAAACTACTTATTAAATGAATTAAGATTTTTGCCGGTTCACATAATAATTTCATTATAAATATCATAATAATGTAATTATTTATGCATTTATTTACTCGCATTTTTACGCACTATTAATTTATTTCGCGTTCTAACATACTATTAAAAATTCATTTATTTCGCACTTTAATATACAGTACTACTAAAAATTAATTCATTTCGCACTTTTAACATACTATTAAAAATTAATTATTTCAATTTAAACATCCTATTAAAAATTAATTGTCGTTTTTCGCACTTTATGCTACTATGCTTTTATTAATCGGTTTTTTACAATAGGCAAGTATACAGGCCGAATCAAATACATGTGATATGAATATAATATAAATTACGATTTTGTTTACCACACTAAATTATATAATTTTCGTGTTCATGCAATATTGTAATATAATATCAATGGCATACCAGTATACCTCTATCATATAAGAATCACAAAGAGAAAACCTTTAATTCTTTATCTAATAAGAATTATAGGTTTTCTATTGTAATGTTCATAAATAACCCTAAGAAAAGAATTTTATTATACTTAAAATAATACAGTCAACCCCCTCTATAGTCACCTCCTCTATAGTCACAAAATTTGTATAATTATAAATTTACTTTTACCAATTATTTATAACTATATAGAAAATACCTCTATATTAGTCACACCTCTTTATAATCACGGTTTTTTGTATCCCGAAGGTGTGACTATAGAGGGGTTTGACTGTATTAATAATAATAATAAAGAAAGAGCAAAACACAATATAAATACTTATCACATATTTCTTCAAATTTTCATGTCTGATTAGTAGTACCCTTAAAATCTAAAAAAAAAAGGTTATTAGAATGTATTACTAAAACATCAGTAAAAAGAAATAACAAAGACAAGAATTCAAGATTTACCTAGATGCCCAATTCATCATTCCATATTGAAATTCAATTGTATTGTCACGATTTAGTTGATTAAATCGGGACTATAATATGGCTATAATGTGATCAAAGCATGAATCTAAGTATCGAAGTCACAAGAATATTATGATGCTATCGTAGTGGTTGAGGCTTAGAGGTACTGAACGGTTCCAATATTTGTTTGGTTTATCATTTTTATACCAGGAACGGAGTTTTCCGTAAGTGAAAACGGAGAGTATGGTTTACAGCAATATTCAATGATGTGCGTCCACAAAATCTGGCATTTGGTTGGATGTTTTCTAAATTTGTAAACACGGGTAATCTCGGATTTATGAATTTAATCAACTATGTTTACGTTGACGTACTATTACAATTTATACATAGAAGTTAACATTTATTTTGGTAAATGACAGTCCGGAATAATGTTAAACATGTTAATATATTACTTTCATTCACTGTACCAGTAACAGAGTTTCACGGAAGTGAAACGAAGGTATGGTTTACAGCCAGGTTCGATGGTGTGCGTTCACAAACTCTTGTATTTAGTTGGTTGGCGTGATTGTGAATCTTTCCTTTCCTGCTTTAATGGATATTTTCTGGATTTCCTCTGTTAATTTTCATTTTGATAGTGAAATGCTAACAGTGTGTATCATATAGTATATATAAAAAAATAGTTAACAATGATTTTCATTTATAAGGTTAACATGATTACGACACTTGCCGCAACAATTGGCATAAAACAACAAACCGTAATGCAATACTGTTATACTATAATTTTGTTGTACCACAATGAAAGATCAAGAAAAATTTTAAAGCTCATTGATAAATTGGGAAGACCTCTAGAATTTGAACTAGTTTGAGTGCTTATAGGTATTATGTCCATACTATTAAATCTCTACGTCCGCCCGCATTAAAGTGATCTGATTGGCTAATTAGACCATGTGTGACTTGACATCTGTCTACCTTTAAAGATCTGATTGGTTGTTATACTTCAATGCCACGTTTATAAATTTTGATTTTATTAATGGCATATTTGTTATACAAGGCTCCAATATACTAATATATTTCAACATTCATGTAATAGAAACTTAGGCAATTACGAACAGTTGATTACTGTACAAATATTATTGGACTTTGTAGAGTAATGAATGTTATAATTTTGAGCATACCAAATATTAATCATAATTAAGTGGTTGTAGTTCATCGCTTCGTATTATCTCACAGACAATCAATTCATAGACAATTTTATTTCTTATTTTGATAGCTCATTTCATCGACAAAACAAGTTTAAGAAAATTAATTCACAGATAGACTATTTTGTGAACAGTTTATTTTACCAAA